CAATTAATAAGCCCTCTCCCTGACACTCCTTCTGCTCTTGGAAGGACATCGACTCGTAGGAATAAACTCCTCATTACATTTCTTGGCATTGAACTGGGCACATGTCCAGCTGGAAAAGAGAATCACTCAACTGTGGTTAGAACTGGCCGGGACCTGCCCCCTGAGGTCCTGCTGTCAGCCAGGTGAGGGAGCACCTGTAGAAAAGGACACTGTGGCATGAACTCTGGCCTGCACTGCCCCTTCCTAGGCCTCACCTCGTTACACCCGAGCCTCCAGCTTACACCTCGTCCCCCATGCTGTCCACTTCATCACATGGCTTGTGTTCTCCCCTTTGACTCAGCACCTTTGAACCGACCTGCGGTCACTCTCCACTGACTTGGCCGTGGGGCTCTTTCTCGTAAACATCCTTATGAGAAGCCCGGGTCTGTCCTATACCTGGCCTCTGACCCTAAATAGATTAGATGTCTCATAGGTATCTCCAGTGTCTCTCCAAAACCATTTGGAAGCCATTATACTGAGTATAAAGGAAGGAAACATCTATCCGTTGGAAATGGAGAAGTTGACCACGGCTTTACTCTATGATAATAAAATTGTATCAGTGTGCTTGGGCGGCCATAACAAAGTACCACAGACTGGGTGGCTAAAATGGAAGAAATTCATTTTTTCACAGTTCTGGAGGCTGGAAGTCTGAGATCGAGGTGTTAGATTCTTCTGAGGATGGGACTAGAGCCTTAGGAAAAGGCAACACTTCTTTCATTTTAACTGTGCAGAAATGCAGGGCTGTTTAGAGTTCTCGGTATTCCCTTTGGAACAGGAGGCCAAGTCACCTGTGGCTGCATTCTCTCTTAACGCATGCTTATCGGAGCCCTGAAAACCAACGACTTTTGGTTGAAAAGATCCATGCCCTCTGGGGCCCCCGGGCTTCGGAGGCCTACAAAGTCTACTCCTTCTGTCCAACGGGCTTGAGAGCCTGTGTCCAATTTCCTAGAGCCTCAGGAAGCAGGTACACTGGGCTCCCCAAACCCCTTCCTGAGCTACCTGCCTCCTCCAAACCTACATCCTGCATCCTGACAAGCAGCTCCTAGTCTGTCCTCAGAGCCCAGCGAGAGCTCTTGTTTCTCAGGAATCTGCCATTATTGATTTCCCAGAGTCCTAGATTTCAGCACATCGATCCCACCCCCCCCGCCCCCAGGTATGACAACCTTGCAAGAGCTTTTGTCTAGGACACGTTCTAAGTGTCTGTTGATGGGCCTAAAGGAATTTGGCGTACTATTCTTGAAACTTTTCTGTAGGTTTGACATTTTTCGGGATAAAAATGCAATAAATGAGTAATCCAAGAATCAGCCCAAACCCTTTTCTAAACTGAATCAGCTTGGGGCACTGTGCCCCTGATGAAGACCCCTGGCACCTATCAAGGAGAAAGATTAAAAAACTAATAAAAAAAAAAAGGAGAAAGAGACATTCCTTGGATCTATCACTGGCACTCAGGGCTGAACCAAAGTCGCTCGGCCCCAGAACCTCCCTGCGTGGAAACAGACACTGCCGGAAAGGGAAGGATATCTCATGGATGTGGGGGGTCAGCAGCTGCCCCACCAGCTGCCCCCTCCACCCAAACACTATGACTACTTGCTGTGTCCCGTGAAATCCCCACTACCCCCAGTGCCATATGTTGGCTTCTACTCCTGCAGAACACGTCAGGTTCTTCCAGGAGCTTCCTGGTTGGAGTAACTAAGCGTTGATTTAGCTTTCCCTCTGGAGCTGCCCCATCTCCTTGTCTGCATCCACAGCACGGTTGTGCAGGCTGTGGTCCGGTCTGCTAGCTGCTCACTCAACTTACAGCTGACGTCTCACCTGGCCTCAGGTGAACTTGCCCTGGGGCTCCTGGAGAGCTCCTGGCTCCCGACTGCTCTCTGTCTTTGACCTACTGCCCTCCTTGGTTAACCTGCAGTTTTCCATCTGCCTGATTTCACTCCCTCGAGCCACGTGTATATTCCTGATATTACTTAGACCACTGGCCATGACACTAGGTATTTCTTTGGGTCTGGTATACTTCAAGCACCTCCTGGATTGTGTGCATCCAGACTCTCTCCAGTTACTTCAGACTTGGCATTAACCCATTATCCAGCTCTGGATAGCTCACTGAAAGCATCATTATGCTTGTAACGTGCACTGGGCTTTTGAACAAACTCAGCATTCGCAAATGCAGTTCTGAATCACTCTCCTTGGCCTTCACCTTGCACCTGGTCCCGCTTACACCTTTCGCAGCTGCTTCACTTGGCTGATACTGCTCCCATTTTTGTCCTCACCCCAATGATTAGACTTAATGCTTTCCACTATTTCTCTAGTAGTGATCTCCAAGCTTCGCCCCTGTGATTCCAGTTCCCAGCTTGGCTGAACACCCACTATGGATTTAACTCACTTCTAGAACTTTGTTTGGCAGCATTTTTGTGATGCTCACTCCAGCAAACAAAAACAATCTAACCTAAAACTATTAGTTAAACAATAAAAATGCCAACTACATTTTTTAAAAAATTAAAATATGGGGCACCTGGGGGGTTCAGTCAGTTAAGCGTCTGCCTTCAGCTCAGGTCATGATCCCAGGGTCCCGGGATCGAGTCCCTGCATCAGGCTCCCTGCTTCTCCCTCTGCCTGAAGCTCCCCTGCTTGTGCTCTCTCTCTCTCTCTGTATCAAATAAATAAATAAATCTTGAAAAAAAAGGATTCAAGTTTAAGAAAATAATAATAAAAGTAAATAAAAATTAAAACAAATCCCGACCCTAAAAAGATCAAAGATTTAAAAGTGGAAAGAAAAACAAAGATAAGAGGAAAAAAGGAAGAAAAGAAGGAAGGAAGGAGGGAGGGAAAGTAGGAAGAAGGACACAAATGGGGAGAGAGAGAACTATAAAAGTAGTAGAAGAAAACTTAGCATTTTTTTATAACTTCAGATTGGGGAAGACCTTTCTAACTGTGACACAAAATCCAGACATCATAAAATAAAATACTTATAAATTATCTTTATAAAACATAAACATTTTAGCATTAAAAAAACAAGCAAAGTCAAAACACAAACAAGAAACTGAGGCAAAACCGCTTTCTGCTAATACTGCAGGCCAAGGCTAAGCTCATGAATATATAAAGAGGTGCTACAAATTAATTTTTAAAAAATCAACAACCCAATGAGAGAATTGACAAAATGTAGGAATAGACCGTTTACAAAAAAAAACAAAACAAAATGCAAATGGCTTTAAGACATATAAAAGATATTCGACCTCAGTCGTTAATATACAAATGCCAGTTAAAACTACACTGAAACATCACTCCTACCAATCAGTTTGGCAAAAAGCAAAGAGTTTAGTAACACACTCTGTTGCCAAGGTCACCAGCAAACAGACCCTCTCATGCATTGTAGGTACAAGTGTAAACTGGTAAAACCTCAATGGAGGGTAATTTGGTGGTCTCTATCAAAATTATAAATGCATGTACATTTTATTCCAGATGTTCTACTTCTAGGAACTTCCGTGTTTTTTAAAAGATTTTATTTTTAAGTAATCTCTACACTTGATGTGGAGTTCGAACTCACAACCCCAAGATCAAGAGTCGTGCGCTCCACTGACTGAGCCAGACAGGTGCCCCTTCTATGAACTTATTTTATGAATATTTTCACCTTAGTATGAAGTGATTAGGAATAAGTTTATTTAGGGCGCCTGGGTGGCTCAGTTGGTTAAGCGACTGCCTTCGGCTCAGGTCATGATCCTGGAGTCACGGGATCGAGTCCCATGTCGGCCTCCTTGCTCAGCAGGGGGTCTGCTTCTCCCTCTGACCCTCCCCCCTCTCGTGTGCTCTCTCTCTCTCTCATTCTCTCTCTCTCAAATAAATAAATAAAATCTTTAAAAAAAAAAAAGGAATAAGTTTATTTATCCCAATATTGTTTGTCTAGAATATTCAGAATAGATCCAATATTTAATAAAAATGAAAACAACTTGATAAAAAAATTTTAAAGACTTTTAAACTTTATTGTGGTAGGAGCATTTAACAAGAGCTACCCTCTTAACAAATTTTGGAGTGTATAATATATTACTGCTTACTATAGGAAGACTCTATCTTTAAAATAATAAGTGAAATAAATTCACAGACTCAAGAAAAACGTTTAGAGTCACACCTTAATATTTTGTCATTTTGGCCCTGCCTCTGGGTCCTCAGATTTTCAAAATGCATTCCTTGCCAAAGCCTGTGGACTTGGTTATCTGCATTGGAAAGTCTGCATCTCCAAAAGCTGTGTCCCTTGATGAGCAAGCTCACTCCTGTGGTAACACCGATCTCTTTGGTTTTTACTACTCCTGTGGAGCTGTTGATTTACTGACAGATGGTGTAGCAATGAAAAAACAGCCTCACGGGAGAGGAAAAAAAAAAATCAATGAAAAGGACGACCGAAACACTCTCTCCAAACAGATTCCTTTCGATTCTAATAAACAAGATTGAGAAATTTTAAATAAAAACCATACAAAATGAAATATTTACAGCAGGTGCGCTACATACGAGGGCTTATGGAAAATATCACAACCAGCCATGGCTAGAACGAAAAACCTTTTAAAGGCTTTTTGTAAAAGCCAGTCATCTCAATCTTCCCAGCGATAGAGAAAAAAGGCAACACTTTTTTTAACAGCCTTCATCTTCCGAAATCTTTTTTTTTTTTTCCAGGATGCAATTAATCTGAAAGCTTGATCTAAATGTAAATTGAGTGGATTGGTGTAGAGAGGGAAATCGATACACCTCAGATTAAAGATAACTAAAAGAATCAGAGTGACCTATATATTCAGAACATTTTAATAATGATTATGTGTCTCTTTTGCTCAGGGCTAGAGAAAGAAGTGGCTGGAAGTTAGCAAAATAACCACTGGGACACAGTAAAACTGCCTGTCTGAAACCTGTTCCTTTTTCGTGGTCCCTTGGGCCAGGCTCCTTGCCAGCGCTGGGGCCATCAGCATCTAAATGCCACCAACCTGCCCAGCCCGTCACGTGCTGATCACATGCACTCCGGAGGGCCAGCCGCCTTCTCCTGGTCTGGATCCCATGACATGAGGGTGACCAGCGGATCTGGTGTGACGGTTCCTATAATTTTTCACCTGGAGACAGAAAACAAAAACAAAAACAAAACCCAGACATTTGAAAAGAGCCACTTTAAGAAGTTGTAAACAAGCTCGAGGAGGCTTTCCTGTCTCATTAGCAGATTTCATGCTGCAAAATGCATCTTCTGGAGGCTTCCTTTTTAAGAACCAAACTGGGCTAAACACCATGTGAATAAGAAGCTACAAATTAGCTTTGACGGTTTAAAAATGGCCATTTTCCAATTGTCCAAAGCCAGAGTTGCTGTAATTTCTGAACACATTCTTCTGCAGTGTTTGTTAAAATATTATGGGATCATACATGGAAGGAACTTCTACAGTTAACAGAATAAAAGTTCCGCGGGACCAGTTCAACAGGCTAGGTCTAAAATTTTTTCCAAACCGTAAAGTTTTCCCTCCTTTGTGCAGGAAGTTAGAAAAGAAACTAAAACCAAAGCAGTTTTACTTTAATGACTGACACGCAACCGGGGTTTGGGGCTTTTTTGGTTTTTTTTTTCCTTCTGGAATATTCCATTCCATATTGGCAAAACACATATTTCAATACAAAAGCAGAAACAGAAGAAAGGTATTGTGAAAACAACGCCTATGCTCAGTTCACATGAGCCTTTCTAAAACACTGTGTGCCTGTTTGTTCCCTCCCATAATGCAAGCTTCACTTCGGGGAAGCCACACTCAGCCCCATAGAAGGGCAGGGTTCCTTCCAGTTGTTGGTGTCGGGCAGGAGAAACAAGGCCAAAGGCAGGTTGAGCTGAGGTCGGGTGCTTGGAGATGCCAAAGAGTAGAAAAGCAGAATTGGGGATGGGTGGAGGTCAGAGCATGAGTCAATAGCCAGAGACACCAAGTTCAAACTAGGACAAGCTAAGATCAGCATCTTGGGGGCAAAGCTAAGAACAAATCAGGCAGGGACAGATGAACAGGCAAGCTAAAAGACACTAAGAAACATATGAAATAGGGTATGGCTAGATCATTCTGTTTAGTGTCTGGTCGGACTTCTTCCTCCTCAACCCAGCTTCTACTGGTCTTAAAGGAGCCATGCTCTGAAAAGAGCAGAGGAGAAACCAAAAGCAAAGAACGTAAGGTGGAGACTTCATTAGGCACCAATGTATACACAACCACAACCCCCAAAGGAAGAGCTACCAGAAATACACAAGCTAAAGATTGGCATCACTGTTGTTAGAACAATAAATTATATGTAACGAAGCAGTAACACCCTTGAAATAAAAAGGCTGGGGTAATATTCATCCCATGAGTCATTCATTAAAATATTGGTTGAGTAACTAACAGCTGGACCCTGTGCTGAAAGCTGGTGATAAAAGGTTAAACAAAATATAGTCTGTGCTCCCACAGAAAGCACTGAGAAAAACAAGTAAATAAGCAATTTCAATACAGTTGGTGAATACATTGCAAGGGGAAGTGTGGAGAAGATAAGATAGAAGGATAATGGATGGTTTCCACAGCTGGGGATCGGAGCAGTGATGCGAGAGAACCAGCAGGAGGGGAAGCTCTCTCCTTACTGGAGCATTGTGTGTCATTCCTCTCCAGAGCCATGGAGAATTTGGAGAGGACTCAAAAGAAGACGAATGAATGGAAGCCCAAAAGACGTGACCCAGCTGCCAAAAGTGAAGGTAGTAGCGTGGTGGGATCTTGAGTACTGTCAAAAGTATAATTCTCGGGCACCTGGGTGGCTCAGTTGGTTAAGCGACTGCCTTCAGCTCAGGTCATGATCCTGGAGTCCCGGGATCGAGTCCCGCATCAGGCTACCTGCTCAGCAGGGAGTCTGCTTCTCCCTCTCCCGCTCCCCCCTCTTGTGCTCTTTCTCTCTCTCTCTCTCTCTCTCAAATAAATAAATAAAATCTTTAAAAAAAAAAAGTATAATTCTCAGGATGCTAAAAGACAGAGACAGGAAGCATATGTCAAAGTTTCATTTAGCTCATTCATGAGGGAGTCAACAGAATACCAAGGCAGACACAAGAAATGGATGTATATATAGTCTATTAAAGAAAAGAAGACTAATTGGGGCACCTGGGTGGCTCAGTCAGTTAAGTGTCTGACTCTTGATTTTGGCTTAGGTCATGACCTCAAGACCCGAGTCAGCTCTGAGCTAGACATGGAGACTGCTTAAGAGTCTCTCTCTCTCTCTCCCCACCCCCCGCTGCTCCCCCACCTCTCTCTCTTTCCCTCTCTAAAAAAAAAAAAAAAACTAGAATAAAAGTATTGAATTAAATATAAAATTCATTAATATCCCACAAGGCAATAAACTATCATCTTCATGGTTACTTTCAATAACGAGGAGAAATCACTTGCATTGCTCTTGGACAAAAATTATTTTTATCTTAGTCATTTCTTACATATTAACTTCTAACTTTTGTTGTAAAATGTCTGGGCCCTATTCATTAGTAAATAGTCAGTTAAATAAAGTTACATTTGCTGAGAGTCAAATGATCCTAAGACAGGCTTGCTAAGTGATGCCCTAGCACAACAATTAAAACCACACCACCATGTTTTGGATAACTTTTTAAATAATTGTAAATTATTTAGTTAATTTAAATTCATTTAAATGATGAATTTGAACAATAATTTAAATATTTTAATTATTTAAATAATTGCAATTTACCAAATCTGAAGACATCCCACAAAGACAGTTGTGACCATCCATCCGCAGTCTCAACAAATGCTAAAACTTAAAAGTTATAGAAAAAAACTTTTTTCTACTTGATCCTAAAACCTAAAGATGATAACCGTCTACATTGCAAGCATTGTTTTTACATTGGTTTTCTCACTTAATCACCTTGCCCATCCCATGTAATAAGTTTTACTGTATTTAATTTCTGTAGTGGAGGAAAGAAAGGAGCCACAAATTAAATAACTCGCCCCAAGTATAAATTAGTAAAGCTGTTCGGGAGGGCAATTGCACAGTATCAATCCAAATTTAAAATATACATATCCTTTGACCCAGTTAATTCTCCTTTAGAATCTATCCTAAAGAAATGTTTGCTGCTTGGTACAGCAATGTTTACATTAGCAAGGGAAAAGGGAGGGAGGGAGGACAGGGAAGAGAGGGAAAAAGAGAAGAAAGACAACTCTGAGTCATCAAAAGGGAAGTAGTTAATTAAATAAATTAGGATATATCCATATTGTGGAATATTAAGCAATCTTAAAAATGAATGAGGTCGAGCCACACTGACCTTCAAGATACATTGTTCAGCAAAAGGAGCAATTTGCAAAATAATGCATTTATGTAAAATAGAACGTGTTTATAAAAGGCTGTAAAGGACACACCTCACTTGTCAATGGTGATTTCCTGGGCAAGGGGAGTAGGCTCAGGGAAGTGAAGGAAGATGAAGGTGGTAAAAGGAGAATTTTCTATTTCTCTCTATACTTATCCATTCCTGGAACCACTTACAATGGAAATTGATTACTTACACAATTTTTTTTTTTTTTAACAAAAAATGGTACTGGTTAAGGAAGGATTACCCAACTGAGAAAAGGAATTTAAGTTACAACTCAAACTCAGGTCTGGCTGACCTAAAAGCTGTAGGCTTTGCAAATCATTATTCACCTCATCGATCACCCATGCCTGCTTTTACACAGGGATCTTACTGAGAGTTGGTCTACCACATCTGTCGATGAGAAAATTCCTTTAGAGTTAAGGGAGGGGACCCGCTTTGCTTCTCCCAAGACACTGGCATGGTTTGTTTTCTTCCAGAACAATGAGAATTCTGTACCAGAACATAACTGCTTTTCATCTTAATTACCAAGAAACTCGGAGTCAAATCCAGAACCTAACTCCCACATTCTGGCCTCAAGGTAGACACTCAATTTCAGGCACAAACTGGAAGTTAGTTAAATTGGGGTCCAAGTCCACATCAAAATATGGCTATTGAGGGTACCTGGGTGGCTCAGCTGGTTAAGCGTCTGCCTTCAGCTCAGGTCATGATCCCAGGGTCCCATGTTGGTCTCCCTGATCAGTGGGGAGTCTACTTCTCCCTCTCCCCTGCTTGTGGTATCTCATGCTCCCTGTCTCTCTAAATAAATAAAGAAAATTTTTAAATATATATATATATTTGGCTGAGTCAGACCCAGCACGTGGAGCTAGATCTCTTTCAATCACCTCAGCAAAAAGTCAGGATTCATTCTAACAGACAGATGATCAAACTCAGGTGTGCCTAAGCATCACCTGGTGTTACTCATTAAAAATATAGATTCCTGAGCCTCATCCCCACAAAAAGATTTGGACATGAATGTTCATAATAACCAAAAAAAATTTAAAACAACCTAAATGTCCATCAACAGATGAAGAGATAAACTGATAGATTCGTGGAAAGTTGCCTCTGGGGGGCGCCTGGGTGGCTCAGTCGGTTAAGCATCTGCCTTTGGCTCGGGTCATTATCACAGGGTCCTGGGATGGAGCCCCGTGTTGGGTTCCCTGCTCAGTGGGGAGTCCGCTTCCCCCTCTCCCTCTGCCCCTCCCCCCAGCTTGCACTCCCTCTGCTCTCTCAAATAAATAAATAAAATATTTTTTAAAAAAGAAAGCAAAGAAAAGAACCTTGCCTCTGATATCCGTAGGAAGTAGGTAGGGAGGGAGGTCTGTTGCTATACATACGTACTATATGTCTGACACTCAGATTACCCACCGGGACATCTCTTAGTATTCTACGCTGAGTTTTATTTTATTTTATTTTTTTAAGATTTTATTTATTTATTTGAGAGAGAGAATGAGATAGAGAGAGAGCGTGGGGGGGGGTCAGAGGGAGAAGCAGACTCCCTGCTGAGCAGGGAGCCCGAGGCGGGACTTGATCCAGGGACTCCAGGATCATGACCTGAGCCGAAGGCAGTCGCTTAACCAACTGAGCCACCCAGGTGCCCTCTACGCTGAGTTTTAAAGGTAAAGGGACAAGTACAGTAGACACAGCCCGAGAAGAGCAAGGTAACCAGAGGCTTCCACACCTCAGGGATGAGGGTCAGAATCACTTAACTGGACAAGCCACTAGATCAGCAGGAGTACTAGCCCAGGGACAGAGAAATCTAGAATGGGTTTTAGGGGAGAGGGGTTCGGAACATCAGTTATAACCTCAGGGGCTGTACTTCATCCTACTAACTCTTTCCTTATAAGTTCCCAGGAAATAAGACCGACCAGAATTCTAGAGGAGCTGTTCCCAGATAGGACAAACTTGCCGTAGGATGTGAGGCGAGCAGAGCAGCTCAAGGGGTGGACTGTAATGGATACTGTGGCCCTCACTCAGGTTCCCTCTTCAGAGCCAATGCGTCTATCCTCCAGTGCTGGAAAGGCCAACTGCTGAAGGCTTAGAACTATGCCCTGCACAGGCGGCCGTCTCTTCCCAAGGGGTAGCCCATGCCAAAAACGCGACTGGCTTGTAGCTCTCAGTCTTAAAAACGGAAAGTTTCTCTCTCTCTCTTTTAAATAAATTAAAAGGGCTCTTGTTCAAATAGATTTCTGGATAGACATTCTCAGGCTTCAGCGAGGAAATGGGGCTAACTAAATATAGGGGGAAGTGGTTGCCTGCAGGCAAGCTTAAGTTGAAAGCCCATGCTGGGCAGATGTTTCCAGCTTTTTAAGATTCTCTCAATCCACGTTTGCAGCTGCGTACGCTCCGCCCCAGTCCACCAGCCTTGCTGGTTGGTATTCTCAGAACAAGGCGCTCTGTCCTCTTCCCCTCCCTCCTTTCCTACCCAAATCCCGGTTCTGAGGGTCTTGATCCTGACCTCATTTATTCGATCATCCTCCTCACCTCAAACCTTATGACTTCTTCAGTTTGCAAAATGAGAATTTCTGCTTGCTTGGTCCATCTTCTGAAGTCTTTCTTCTTGGGGGTTAACTGTTTAGTGGCTCCTAAATATATCTGGAGCGTGGAGTCCTCCCTCTCTTCCTGGAGGAGGGTTTTAGATGACGGAGATAAGGGGCACAGCAGAGCCTTCAGCTGTGCTGGGAGTCCTTTCAAAGCCATGTGTGGTCCACTCCCCACCCCCAGGTCTTAAAGTCACAGTGCTCATAACCTCTGCATCCAACAAGAGGACTGACAGCCTCGGGACTGTCCAAATGCCTTTTTGGTTTTGGGCCAGCGACTCTTGAGATTCAATCTACTGGCATAACATAGGAAACTGAAGAGCCCAGACCTCAGAGAGATAATTATTTAAAAGCTAGAGCCCATATGCCATCTTTAGTAGATGCTATGATTCCCTTATCTTTGAGTTGAGTCACTTAATTAGCTGGAATTCAGTGAGCTTAATTGGTGGATTAGACACAAAAATAATCACTAATGTGATTGCTTAGAGCTTGAATTGAAAGCCTTGCTCTGCTCCTTTTGAACTATAATTAATTTGTGTTTGTTGTGAAATAGGAGTTTGTTTTGAGTACATCAAAATATATTAGAGACCTGAAGATGTATACCGCAGTTGCAGGGATGTATGCCAGGGGACGCTCTGGCCCAACGCTTGCGTCTTACTTTTAAATCTTCCAGTTTGGAGCAAAGCGGGTTTTGCATGAGATTAGTCTGGTTTGTTTTTGTTTTTTTAACATAAAATATCATCACGTAGGGCATTATCTTTTCTTTGCACACATCCCATTTTGTTCTTTTTTAATCTCCTCTTCATTTCCCCCTCATTCTACACCACTTTTTAAAACATTTCTCTCCCTCTTTTTTTAGTAGCTTCTCTCTTCATACAACTTGTCTCTCTCTAAGCCCAGTACTGAGGACTGAAATGGCATAAATGCTAAGTATTGTCAGGGAGGGAAAACCCAAGAGCACACATGCTGGAAATGGTATGAGTCAACACACCCAGGGACCACATTTTCTGAGCCAAAAATTGGGATATGGGTTCTGATAAGTATGGGGGTGCCTTTGAGAGCAGGCAGATAATATTTTTGGAATTGAACCTATTCAGTAAAGTTCAGATCACATAGTTATGGATCCTGTAGAGAGGGGACCTCAATCGCACAGCCTCATGTGCTCAAGGGAAAGCCCCCTCCAGGCTGACATGGTGCCTTCTCACTTCTTGGACCTAAATCTCCTAACATTCATGTCCCAACCCTGGATTATACAATAAAAATTAGTGCATCATATCCCCAAAGCCTTTATGAAATTGCACATATTTATCTGGGCAAGAAAGAACCCCTTTTGATCTCCATGTTGGTTCACTGGCATAAAGTGGCATACGATGCTGTCTTGAAAGATACAATGAGCACCTCTGGAGCACAGAATTAATACATATTAATGGGAGAACCGAAAAGATAGGGGGTATCCAGCAGCAGAGAAAAAGGTGAAACCGAATGGGGTACCTAACCCCAAAACCAGGAGTGAGTAAAGAAATCTAGCTATAGGACAGGACTGACTTGGTCCCAGAAAACATGTTGTTGTTTTCCTGGGCCAAGAAGCAGGAAAGATGTTTACTTGTTTTTCTATTTTCCCTCTCCATCTCTACCCCAACATCCTCACCTTCTGCCCCTCGTTTTCTCTTGGCTCTCTGCCAGATTTGTGTCTTGGAAAAAGTAGTCACAGATTCACAGAACAATAGAACGGGCAAAGGGACTTCCAGCCATCTCTTCCAATCCCCTGAATAAACAATGGATGAGCCTGGTGCCCAGAGAGGAACAGTGACTTGCCCTGCTAAGAAGTAGCAGTTGCACATCTTGAATGTAGCCCAAGAATCGGGGTTTTTTCGTCAACACCATGCTGCCCTTCTCTGGAAGAATTTTTCGGGAAGTGAGAAAACAGTAATAAAACATTATACCCTATCAGGACAGACAAGAGGAGAGAGAACGGGCAGCTTATAGAAAACAAAGGGATGTGGAAGAAGGTAATCAGTAGAGTAAGAAGAAGAAAATAGAAAAAATAAGAGGGATGGAGGGGGTAGAGGCATGGAATGTTCTGAGCTACAGTGACATCACCATCTAGTGCTAAACTAAACCATTTAAAATCATGCTGTGGACTCTATTCCTAGGTATTTAACCAGGAGAAATGAAAACATATCCACAAAAAAAAAAATTTGTACAAGAATGTCCCTAGCAGCTTTACATATAATATTCAAAAATTAGAAACAGGCCAGGTGCCCATTAACGGGAGGATGAATAAACAAAATATGATCTATCCAGACAATGGAATGTTGGTCAGAAATACTACTGATATTCACATGAACATCGGTGGCTCTCACAGACATTATGCTGAGTGAAGGAAGCCAGACAGAAGAGCATATACTCTTTGATTCCCTTTTACGAAGCTCTAGAACAGATGAAACTGATCAGTAGTGGAAACAGAACAGTGATTGCTTGGGAAGGGGCGGATGACAGTGGCAGGGATTAACTGGGAAGAGGCACGAGGGGAACTTTCTAGTATAATAGTAATGCTCTATGTCTTGTTAAGGATTTGGGTACAAATTGGCATTTGGCATTTCATTCGGTGCAAACTTTATCTCCAGAGGGAAAAAAAAAAAACTAAGAAATACTAAACCCTAAATAAGAATATGGCAATTTACTTTGACATGTATCCAAAAAAATAAGATGAATTGATGAATGGAGAGACAGAAGATATATGTGAAAGCAAATATAGTAAAATATTAATTGGACAGGGTGGTGGGTATATGGGTGTTCACAATAAAGTTCTTCCAACTTTTCTGCATATTTAAATTTTTTCATTAAAGTATTTTGAAGAAAACTCACTAAAGGATACAGTACATAGAAGAAGAAGGAGAAGGAGGAGGAGGAGAAAGAGGAGGAGAAGAAGAAGGAGAGGAAGAGGAAGAAGAAGAAGAAGAAGACGACGACGACGACGACGACTAAGCATCAGTGCGTGAGGATTTTTAACTGGAATTTTCCCTGAATGTAGGACAGTGAAGAGAGAAAGAACGTTCCGTGGTGTGAACCAAATTTTTCCAAGTTCCCCTTCTAGTCCCCTCCTTCCTACCTACATCTTGCCTTCCTCGTATTCTCTACCACTCGTAGTCAGATATGCGATTGATACAACCTTAATATTTTTTTCACTTGTCACAATCCTGGGTCATTTGCTTTCTCAGGAGATCTGTGTGTCACGTCCAGCTCTGCTCCAACTGGACACTGAGCTCCAGGAGCCGGCGTAAGAACACAGTGCTCCTCTGTACCCAAGCTGGGCAGTGATGAGTTCTGATGGGCAGAATTATCGCGTGGGTTGGAGCCCTGGGAAATGGGACTTGCAGTGCATACACAACACTGTAATTATTTGTGTCCATGTCTTTCTCTACACTAAACTGTGATCCACAAATGGGTGTGATTTATTATTTTGTCCCCTATATCTGGTGCATAGAAGACATGAAGGGTGGGAGGCTACATGGATCAATGATACCCTGAATCCTCAATTATGAACTTCAAGAGCATGGACACAGGCTCTTCTTACTCATCTCACACACCCTGACAGAGTGTAACTCATTGTCTTGCATGTAGTTGGCAATAATAAAGAGCCGGATGAAGGAGATCTCATGGCATTAATCGTTAGCTACAAAATCGGTGAAACCTTTTCCCCCCAACTTCTCTTCTACTACTTTAATCCAGATTATATAGTATCTTTCACTCCAAATAGGAAAGAACCACAACCACTAAAGAATTTTCCAGACTTACTGGAAAAAATCTGTCCTATCGTACTGGATTGTCCTGGTTTTCAGGAACCGCAGGAACCATTTGCCCCCCAAAGTCTCTAGCAAAAGTAAGCAGGAGCTGAAGCCTGCTTGTACTATCTTTTCTCCACATCTTAGCCTCTTCCTCCCCACCCCCCACCACCCCCCTCCAGGTTTAGAGCCAAGGACATAAACTGGCAGCCCAACCACAAACTTGTTTTGTTCACACAGTATTTTTATGTTTTTAAGTTAGCTGCCAATATGTAAAGAGTGGACAGTTTCATTTGAAAATTCAGATGAACAGCTTCTCCTGGAAAATCAAATCTGGACAATACTAGACCCCTCTCTCTTGTGTGGCAGTGATCAGCTGAGCTGAGGAATAGGAGTCACCTCTAATGGGATAGGGTCACCACTACCAGGGCATTGTCTCTCCAGGGCCACGGCTGCTGGCTTCACAGATTTGCTTTACCTTCCAGAAGCATCTGAGCATGTGCCTCCTGCTATAGAAGCAGACCCCAGCGGGGCAAACCTAGGGTGGTATACCCCACCCAGGTTCAAGGCTTTGGCTGGCCATCTTCATTCTTCTACCAGACCACATAAGGAACTCGTGCAAGACATGGCCACCTCTGGGCCTCAATTCCCTTAAGCCAGCTGAGGGTGCCTAGAAGAGTTCACATATATTATTACTAAGATGCCCCTAGAATGGAAAGTTCTGAGTCCACATCCCAATACCTTGCCCTGTCCATGAATTTTATCACTGACGATTGCCCCTAAAAATGTCAGTTTTAAAAAAGTAACCACTCTTCAATGACACTGTTCGTTATCCCCAAAGGCATCAGGGAGGCACAGTCAGCCCCTAAGTACCTACTAATCTGTCTTTTCAGTCCTCACCTGCCTCTACCTCTGAAGACTATTAACACTCCCCCCTTGAAACATTCTGCTCACTTGACTTCCATAAATTTACATGCTCTGCACGGTCTGTCCTCTCCAACTGCTCCTGTATTTTCTTCCTTTTCTCTTTTACCAAATATAGAAATTCCCTCACGTTGTAGTCATTCCCTCAGACCTTGTTTCCCACGGCTACTCTCTCTTTCAGAAAACAGATCAGCTATGGTGGCCTTCACCGCAGCTCCATGTGGGTGACCTCTCTCTCCTGTGTGCCAAACCCACATTATCACTGAGCCCTCACCGCACCTTCCCTGTGCCCCAGCCATGATTCAATATTGGCAAGTCCAAAAATAAAATATCCAAATCCAGACTCACTGGGGTGGATATCTCCTGTTTCTGTCTGCCATGCATCTCTGTT